GTGTGTGTGTGTGTGTGTGTGTGTGTGTGTGTGTGTGTGTGTGTGTGTGTGGTGTAGGGTCTGGCACACACCAAGTGTAAACGGGAACTGCCCCAAATCCAAACATGTAGACCCTCCCCCGCCCGCTCCTGCCTCGTCTGTGCCTGGCCTGAGCCCCTCGTCTGCCCCGGGTTCTACCCACACAAGCAGCACATCAGCCAATCCCGCATCCTCTGTCATGGAACAGACTGTCTCCCACAGACCCCATCCTATCCCAGATTCCTTCCCCTGTGGCCCTGGGGTCCTGCCAGCCCAGTCCAGCCAGCTCCCCCAACCTCTCTCCCCCCACTGGTTTCCTGTCGCACGCCTGGGTAGAGACTCTGTCCCATCCCATCCCTCCCATCCCATCGACAAGCCCCACCTGGAGAGCCCAACAGGTCAATGGGTGGTAACAAGGCCTCAGAGCAACCGAGCTTCTTGGCGTGGCAGTGGGTACCAGCCTGCTCTTCTGAGAAGGCTCGATGTCCCCCCTACCACTTCAGTGCCATTCCCCAGCCCTCCCCAAGGCACTGTCACCCAGAGCTAGGAAAAGCCAACTCCACCGATGGGTGGAATTCACGTCAAGAAGTTTATGCTCTGATCTTGGATACATACGGATGTCAGTATCATTTAGCAGCTGTGTGTCTTTGGGCAAAAGACTTAACCTCTCCGAACCTCAATTTTCTCATCTGAAAAATAGGGATACATTCCCATAATTCCTTATCAAAACCGTTTGGCTCCGGGTGTGGTTTAGAATTCAGAACTCTTCAGACTTTAGAGAGATAATGCAGTCCTTATGCCATGCATTGTGTTAACACCTCCAGCCGGGTCCGGGGCTAACAGCCATGTTCAAACATCTCAGGAACAGAATGTATGACTATTCACTCTAGGATCAACAAGGTCTATAAGTAGCCTCCGGTCAGGTTTAGCAGCTGAAATGAGTTATAAAAATACTTTGAGGGGCTTCCCCACTGGTCCAGCGGTTAAGACTCCATGCTCCCAGTGTGGGGGGGCCTGGGTTCGATCCCTGGTCAGGGAACTAGATCCCGCATGCATGCCTCAACTAAGAGCCCTCGTGCCACAGCTAAGACTCAGCGCAGCCAAATAAATAAATAAATATTTTTAAAAAAATACTTTGAGCTTTCAGAGCTTTGGGAGATTTTGAACCCATAGATAAGGGAGTGTGGACCAATGGAAACACTCCCTCCCTGAAAGGGCTACAGAGCCAGGGGTGTGGGGGGGAGGTGGTTATTCCCATTCCCTGAAATGGGGGAGGTGCCAGGAGTGAAGTGCTGGGTCCAGACTCAGGATTGTGATTCCCGGGGACCTTAGGGCTCTTGCACCGTGGCGTGGGGTTGGGTGGAGAGGCTTGGGCACAGCAGAGAGGCCATGCCATCCGGTTCAGTTACCCAACAGCTGGGTGAAACTTGGCTCCTGCCCTGAGGGCAACCTTCCCGGTGATGATCACGCTGGCTCTGTCCCCAAGATCACCCCCAGGGACGGCACACAGCCTCAGGGATTCACTGAACCCCAGAAGTCAATCAGATGCCCCAAGATTAGGAGCCCCTGCCGCAGAGAGCCGACTAGTTCACCCCCTGGTGGGTCACCTCCCTTCTTTGCCACAACAGCTCTGGGTCTAGGATGGACAATCCTCGCACCCAGATCCACTGCTCTGTAAAGGGCTCCCAGGAGGCCTCCCACCCCTCCCAGCCCCAAGAGACACTCATCAGTCTATCCTTCCAGATAGTGGGGGGCACAGGTCCCTTTGCTGAGGCCCGCCATATCTGGATCCTACAGCTAACCCAGGGCGCACAGCCTCGAGCCCCCGATGGTGGGCACAGGGGACGAGGTGATGGCGGTGCCCTGAGCCCACGCTTACCCAGGTTGAGAGTGATGTTGACCGAGGTGGGGTACTGCACCCCAAAGGCCATGGACGGGCTCTGCCACCAGGTGCTGTCGTCCTGGCTGTGGAAGTCGGTGAGGTAGGAGGCGTTGTGGTGGCGCTCGGGGTCGGCGGCGTCGCAGCGCTGGCACTGCGGCCCCGCTCCCTGAGCGGCCACGTGCGGACAGAAGTCCTCGGGCGGGCGGCCGCACGTGTGGGAGGCCTCGGCTAGCCGGCCGAACGCCGCGTTCTCGAACACGGGCAGGCAGCGCTGCGGGCGCCCCGCGTCGTCGTAACACGCGCCCATGCCCGCGCCGGCCGCCCGCGGCGCCAGGAGCGCCAGACCCAGCAGGAGCGCGGCCACAGCCGCCATGGTCAAGGGCACCGACGCCCTTGCGGTCCGGCCGTGCACGCCCGACTCTGCGCGCCCGGCTCTGCGCCCGCCCGGCTCTGCGCGCCCGCCTCGGCTCCCGTTCCGGTGGGCGCGGACCGCGCGCTGGGCCCCAGTACGCGCCTCCCCCGGCGGGCGGGACCCACGGCGGGAGGGAGGGACAGACGGCGGGCAGCGCCCCCCAACCTCCCGACCGCTCCGTCCCTGGGTGCTCACCCCCACCTGGTGGTCGTGCCCGGGAGTGCCCGGCTTGGGAGTCAGCCCCAGCTACCTTGCCCTGGCTCTGCTGGGGGACCCTGGCTCTTTGACCCTCGGTGTCCTCGTCTGTAAAAAGGGATTGGTAATGATGCAGGTTCATTACCGTGCTTGTGAGGTTTCAATGGCTGTTCACGACATGGAAACTGCTCACTAGTGCCTTTCAAGTCCTGAAATATAAGGGGGCATCTGATCTTTCCCGTTGCACGTCTCCTCCCAGCAATAAAGTCACCCTAGGGGTAGATCCTTACGTTTCCACTGTTCCATTAACTCTGAAAAGTGCTTCTGCTGCTGGCTGCTCTCTGCTCTGAAAGCAGAGATTCTAAGCTGACATTTGTGACCAAGGATACCTGGTCTCATCACAAACATCACCTCAGAGAGAGACCTTCCCTCCCCCCACCCGCAGGAGATGCCCCCTTATATGCTCCGTTCATTAAAATTAGTAAATCAAAGGAGAAAGCCAGATGCTCATATCAATAGATGCTAGAGAAAACACTTGATAAAACTTAGCAGCCCTTCCCAGAAAAACTCTAAGGTAAATAGTAATAAACTTCCTAAACATGCCCAGGACTATTTTTCAGCTGCAGCCTTTACAGCTAGGTCCTTCCCATCAGTTGTCCTTGCCTGAGACTGGGAAAGTAAAAGTGGGCAGAGGCCATCCTCTGCCCTTCTGGTGATTTTTTCTGGTGGCAAGTGAGGTCACAGAGGAGGAGGCTTTCTGCAGCAGCGTGCTTCCCATTCTCCAGCTCTGTGGGGGTTGAGAGGGCTTTGTGTGGTGGTAGCAGCAGCCGTGGCATCTTGACTCCTATTTCTGCCCCCTGGATTGCAGTTACAGAGTGAGATCCCAGAGCCTCAGGTGGTGGCAGCTTCCCAGGTGGGTCAGTTCTGCAATGTCCTAGATGTCAGCACTTCCAGTGTCTTTCCATCCATCCCCTGAGCACTTTCCTCTCTGCATTCAGTCCTTCCTGTTGCAAACACCTAAGCACTTGCCAAGTGCTTGGTGCCGAGCTCAGCATGGTGACGGTGGAGAGGGTGGGCAATAAATTGCTATCACTACAATGAAGACAAGATCCTGCTCTCTATGAGCCCTCGGTCTGACTGGAGAGGGAGACAGGGCACTAAGAAACAGCCTGATGACATTCCAAGGCTTGTTCTCGCCTGTTTTATAAGACTGGGTTGTGACCACGTGTTTTCCAGTCATTTGTTCCTCAGCAAACATGTACTGTTGCCCACTGTGTACCCTGCACTGTGTTGGGGACACAGAGGTGAATTAGACACCCCCATCCCACCCCCTAGTGAGGGAGAGACACCATATCCATTGATGTCCATGAAGAGGCTGATAGGATGTAACGGAAGGTGGTGCATGGGGGGCTTGGGGTGTAGGGAGGGTGGGGTGTCTAGTTCTGCCTGCAGGTGGAGGGTGCTTCCTAGAAGAGGTGATAAACAGACCAAGTTGTAAAGGATGAGCAGGGGAAAGGGCATCTCGGGCAGGAGGCACAGCATGTGCAAAGGCTCAGACGTCTGAATGGGTAGGGCAAACCTGTTGTGTGTTTGCAGCTCTGGGTGGGGAGTTGGTCCTGGGGGTGAGGCTGGAGCAGGGTGCAGAGACCAGATGATGTGGGCTGCTGGGCACCATGGGGATGAGCAGGGGCTTCGTCTTGTAGACGATCTGTGGTTGCTGTGGTTTGTGAGTTCTTGGCGGGCAGGGACCTCGTGTGCCTCACCCCCTGTCCCCAGGACCTGAGCTGAGCGTAGTTCAGGGAATGTTTGGGGAACAAGCAGGAACCACATGTCTGGCAAAGGCTGATCCTACAGGGGCAGGGCCAGAGATGATGGCTCCTTTAAGAGGCGCCAGCCGGGTGCTCCCTGACCTTGCCCAGGTCCTGGCAATGGCTCTTGAGGGGACCACACCACACTAAGGGGTAAGGATGAGGGGCTAAGTTTAGTTTGGGCAATCAGGGGAGGCTTCTTGGAAGAGGTGACAGCACAGTGGAGACCTGAAAGATGGGATGAGAGGCAGGGTGGAGAGGGAGGGCTCACACTCCTCAGATGGGAGCTGACAGGGACCCCTCAGCTGTCACCCTCAGAGAACATCTTCTCCCTGGAGTTAACAAGTTCAGACAGGCCCAGGGACATGGTTGGCCTCGGGACATGCCACCCCTCAGTACAGCGACTGTCTCAACCCTCCTCTGTCCCCAGCCCGAGGAGGGCCTGGGCCTGGGACTGAGTCAACCTTGGATAGCCCTTCAAATCCAAGGGCCCCAGATGGATAAATGACGCACCCCCTTGTGGGTGGTGCAGGGGCCAGAGGCTGGGCTCCAAAGGAGGTAACAACAGCTGTTGGGACTTCCCTTGTGGCGCAGTGGTTAAGAATCTGCCTGCCAATGCCGGGAACACGGCTTTGATCCCTGGTCCAGGAAGATCCCACATGCTGCAGAGCAACTAAGCCCGTGCGCCACAACTACTACGCCTGCACTCTAGACCCCGTGAGCCACAACTACTGAGCCCACGTGCCACAACTGCTGCAGCCTGTACGCCTAGAGCCCGTGCTGTGAAAGAAGAGAAGCCACCGCAATGAGAAGCCCGCGGACTGCAATGAAGAGTAGCCCCCGCTCGCTGCAACTAGAGAAAGCCTGCACGCAGCAACAAAGACCCAACGCTGACAAAAATAAATAAATTTCTAAAAAAAAAAAAAAAAGTTGTCCACTCATCATTCATTCACTCGCTGGACAGACATTTACTTAGTCCGCATGCCATGCCCTGGGCTGGGCACAGGGGACAGAGTGATGAATTGGTAAAACTGTCCCTGCACTTGGGGGGCCCCAATAAGAAACTGGTGATTATAACACAGAGTGATCAGAGCACTGGGGAAGAGAGAGTAAAGAACAGGTGCTTACCCCAGTCTGGAGAAGTCAGGGAAGGCTTCCTGGAAGAGGTGAGGTCTCAGCTGAGACCCAGAGAGGAGGAGATCGCCAGTAAAGGGGATGGGAATGAGCATTCCAGGAGAGGAAACAGCATGTGAAAGGCTTGGAGACAAAACCGAAGAACTGAAGGAAGCCCAGGGTGGCTGGAGATGGGAGTATGGGGAGAAGCAGGTTGGGGCTGGTGGGGTGGGCAAGGGCTAGCCCCACGTGTCTTGATGAAGAGCCGGACTCCACGTGGGGACTGCCAGAGAGGAGCCTCCCTTCAACCTCTCCCAGGGGTCCAGGCTCCCCGCTCCCCAGTGAGAGGCTCCTGCCCTAGATCCAGCCTCTGGCTCCTGCTAGGTCCCCTCCCACTTCCTCTGGACACTCACGGTCCAGCACGGAAATCCTTGGGCCTGGCACTCCCTGGGGAAACCCCACGGCCGAGTCCGCACAGACATGTCTCTGCTGTGCCTGACACTGCCCACATGCAGCCAAAGTCACCCACAACACAGGTCAGCCAGGAACACAAGGCCATGGAGCCCACCCTGTGGGTAGATCACAGAGGCCAGCTGCTCCTCAGTGGGTTTTCTTGTTTGTCTGCACCGCTCCCCCAACTTGGGGCCCCTGGAGGGTAGGCAGGAGGGGTGTGACTCATCCCCTGGGTGGGTGCTTGCAGAATGCCTAGTGAATGAATGAAGGTTGATGAATGCTAAATGGATGGTAAGTGAATGAAAAGTACATGAAGAATGAGAGCATCTGAATGAATGGATGGATGGATGGAGGGATGAATGGATGGATGGATGTGAACGAATGGATGTAAGTGTGATTGACAATGATGGTGATGATGATGATGACATTGGTGATGATGATGGTGATGGTGATGGTGATGATAAAGATGAAGTGACAATGATGGTGATGATTATCATGGTGATGATGATGATGACATTGGTGATGATGATGGTGATGATGATGGTGATGATGATGGTTATGATGGTGATGATGATGGTGATGGTGATGGTGATGATGGTGATGGTGATGATGGTGATGGTGATGGTGGTGATGGTGATGATGATGGTGGTGATGGTGATGGTGGTGATGGTGATGATGATGGTGATTATGATGGTGATGAATGAATGCATGCATGTGGGAAGTGAGGGCTTCTGCTCCCTGGGTTCTCCCCACGCAACCTCTGCCCCCAGTTCCGGGGCCCTTGCCCTCTCAGCAGAAGGCACATCCTGATAGCCCCCTCCCCATTTCTCCCACTGCACCTGCCACCCTCTCCTTTTAGCCACTCAGCTCTGACCACACGGGCCTCCTTCCCAAACACACAGAGCGCATTCCCACCTCAGGGCTTTTGCACGTGCTGTGCCTTATGCCTGGAGTGCTGTTCCTGCAGATTTCTGTGTCCCTCCCTGCCCCAGGGTCCCGATATGGAGAGTCTGGCCCAGACCTTCCTTGACTTTCCCCTGTGCTTCCTACTCCTGCACTGTGCAGTGTTTTCCTTCCTAACCCGTGACACATACACATACTTGCTTGTTTGTCTGTGGTCTGTCTCTCCCATCAGACTGGGAGCTTCCTGAGGGCGGCAACTGTGCTGCCCCCCTTTTCTCTGCCCAGCAGGGACACTTGTGGGATGAATCCATGGGGCACAAAGCAGCAGATGAGGGCACAGAGTCCCCAGTGGAGCGACCAGCTCCACGCCGACATTGGTCTGTGCCAGCAGTCCCCACTGCAGGGAAGCTACTCTTACACAGTAGTTTCATTTCCAAGCTCTTTCTGCTGAGGACAAGGAAACGGCAATTATAAGTCAGCAGCAGAACCTAGCAAGGGAAGG